TTTTTTTTTTTTTTTTTTTTTTTTTTTTTTTTTTTTTTTTTTTTTTTTTTTTTTTTTTTTTTTTTTTTTTTTTTTTTTTTTTTTGTGGGCTTATTTTTTGCATGACTTTGTACATTCTTTTATTTATCTCAATGAAAACTCGATTTGTTACCAAAAAAAAAGGGTTGTTGACAAGTTTCTGTTCTCACATCTGTTTCCATTCAGACTACTTCGTAACCAAGTGTGGTGTGCTCATGATGGCACTTTTCGTTTTCTTCACTACCACTATGTCAGTGTCATTTACATTGAGGGAGACACAGACTCGCATGTTGAAGTTTACAGGTTCCTTTCTTTCGTTTGCTTTATGAAAGTATGATTTTTAGATAAGTTTTGTTTCCTTGTGAAAAAGAAAATAAATGGTTTATTATTATTACTATTTTTCTTTTTTTTTTTTTAAACAAAAAAAACTTTACAAGTTCCTTAATATTCTTTTTCCACAAGGGACCTTGTACTGCATTGTAGCTTCACGCCCGGCATGCTCTAATGGATTTCTACCGTTTATTTAGGGAGATGGCCCCTTTGTCCTGTCTACTGCCCGCTTTTGGGCCTCAATATGTTTAAACTGTAACATTGGTTTCCATGGAAAGTGTGATGGTAGACTGATAGTTACCATAGACTGCTAGACATACATTAAGGAGTTAGTATACTTTCTCATCTCATGGTTCCTCATGCATGCCGACTAACTATATATATTTACATTACAAACTAGAGACTAAATGTTGCTACTCCTTGGAATTTCCAACATAGGGATTTTGTAGGTAGCGTCATTAGAAATGATGGCGTTAGGTAAATCTTTTGGTAAAAAACTAGGGTATATCAAATTTTTCTTTGATTGCCTGTAGTCAAATGATTGATCGAGTGGAATTCTGCATCCAACGAATCATCATATCTTAAATATTTATTTTAGACAAGAATTTTCATATCAGTCACTGGCTTCTAAGATATCTGGTCCATCTGCACTGTCAATGGACATCTCCATTCATACATATAGAGTAGAAAGGCTGAGTTAATTATCTTGAAATATAATGGAGTACGACTTGTTTTTAATACTGCAGTGCAGCTTCAACACCACGCTCAGCATCAACTCCCAACGTTTCAGTTGATATTTGTGCATGTAATCGAGTCACTTGTCTTTGTTCCAGTAAGCACTCCAGATTGTTGCTTTACTCCTGATATTTACGCTTGCTTATATTTCTAGTGTTTTTTTTTTTTTTCTTTTACTATGTGGTGGTACATACGGAGGATTTTCTTGTTAATAATCTATTGCTTCTTTTCCAGATTATGATCAGTATTCTATTTTTCCTGTTCGAGTTTTATGACGATCAGCTCTTGGCTTTCATGGTCTTGATCCTGGTGTGGTTAAGTGAATTATTTACACTAATTAGGTCCCTCTCTCTCTCTCTCTCTATCTATCTATTTATCTCTATCTCTCACACACACTATATCTCGTGGAATGACACAACTGATGAAACCAAATTATCTATTCGCGTTTGAATAATTGATGAATATTATTTCCCCCTCCAAAACAATAAAAAATTCTGCTTTAGAGCTTATAGTCGAATCATGGATACGTTTAGCTGTGCACAATACATATATCACTTAAATCTGTAGCTCTTACGTAATCTGATGCCTTTGTTTTGCCTTGCCTGCAGTGTGCGGACTCCAATATCAATGAAGTTTTTCCCCCGCTTTTTTTTGCTCTATTTTTTGGTTTTTCATATTTATTTCTTCTCGTATGCATATGGTATGCCACTGATTTTCAACAATTGTGGGCTTATATTAGAGCTTGTGGTTAACCAGATCCCAAATTTCATTTTCACAAAATTTACAGGTTTTTCATATTTGGCTCTTTCTACTACTGCAGCCTTTACGCTGCATTTGATTCTATACTTTTGGAACCGCTTTGAGGTGCACTATTTTCCATCTTCATTTAATAGTATTAGTTTCTTTATAAGATTTAAAAAATAACTGTTTCTTTATTACAACTGTTTAAGTTCTCAAAGTCAGCATGGCCTATTATATTATTTCTCTTGCACACTTTTATATGTTCATGTGATGTTGGTTAAGACGGTTGCTAGCAGATACTAAGCAGGAAATAGCCTTTGTTGGTTTGTGGAATTGGATCTGTTGTGTGAGATCTTGTATCGGTTGGGGAGGAGAACGAAACACTCTTTATAAGGGTATGGAAACCTCTCCCTAGCAGACGCGTTTTAAAATTCTTGAGGGGAAGTCCAAAAGGGAAAGCCCAAAAGGACAATATCTGTTTGCAGTGGGTTTGGGTTGTTACAAATGGTATTAGAACCAGACACCAAACGATGTGCCAGCGAAGTGGCTGAGCCCCGAAGGTGGGTGGACACGAGGCGGTGTGCCAGCGAGGATGTTGGGTCCTGAAGGAGGTTGGATTGTGAGATCCCACATCGGTTGGAAAGGAGAATAAAATATTCTTTATAAGGATGTAGAAACCTCTCCATGCGTTTTAAAAACCTTGAGGGGAAACTCGAAGGGGAAAGTTTAAAGATAGATAATATCTACTAACTGTGGGCTTGGACCGTTACATATTGCACAGGTTTTCTGTATATGACTTTAGAGAATGATATTAAGAGTTAATCCATTTACAACGGCATCTACTTGGCTTCTTTTTGTGATGCCTTGTCACTCTGTCATATGATCATCCAATTGCTTATACCAGTAACGTCCAATACAGGTACCGGCTTTGCAGAGGTTCATGCAAAACAGACGATCTCAAATACATCAACATCCAGACTTCCATATTACCTCTTCTACCATTCTTGCCTCCACATTACATATCACCAGGAATCCCAATGCAATAAACACATATCCAAACTCCGGACCTGATTTGAGACCTACATCTGAAACCATTCCCACTGGACTTGGAGGCGTGACCGGAGAAGTTTCCCGTCCCTGGGAGCAAACCGAAAATGGTAGCCTTGACCGAGCCCGCAACAGGATTCAAATTCCAGGACAGCATGAACTTGGGCAACCGAGGAGTGCAAATTCTTTTAGTTCTATGCTGTTTCGGATCCTAGCAGGAGGGGCTACTTCTGAAGGAATGAACTCATTGCGTTCAATATTCCGAGATGCATGGAACAATGGGAATCAGAATGTTCGATAATATTGGATTTTCATGATTGAAAATTGATCCACAGGTGTTGTTGATACTCCCCAAATAGTGTACGTTTTTTGTATATAACAATGAAAAAAAAATGTACTTCATACCATTTAATCTACAGAGAAATCTCACCTTCAGTCCAATTGTTTTAAATCCGTTTAAACAAGAGTTATCCGCCCGAATTAAGTGGACATTTTTAAATGTGGTATTGTCGATCTTTATCAAACTTCATAAAGTTATTTTGCGAGGAATTCAAAACTCTAAACTATAAGAGGACAAATAACATTTGAACGTCATATCTTCCTTTCATTACAGTATTTCTGAACAAGTTTCCTAAGGGTTTTCTTATTGATAATAGTGACGATATCGATGGTGATCTTGATACGGAACTGGAGCTTCTAACTATGATAAATGCGCCGCAAACTATATTGTCGGAAATAGACCTTATAATATTATAATTTTCTTGGACAAAGACAACAAGCCGACATTACCCAGAAAACAATAGAATTTTAAGGAAAAAGAAAAAAAAAAGACAACAATCATCTAAAAGTCTTTAAATGTTAATCATTTCCTTGTGTTCTTAAGTATGAGAATCCAATTTCCCCACTATCATTATAATATTATATATTCATCCATGTCAAATCCCAATGCCAACGACTTCCCCTTTTTACTTTCCACGAACGACCAAGAAAATGGAAGAAGACGACGAAAAGAAACCACCTTCCCAGCCACCACTATCACCAACTCCAAAACACACAAAAATCGCCTAACCCCTCTCTCTCTCTCTCTCTCTTCATCATCTTCTTCATCAACACTTTTTTTCAGATTTTTCTTCGAAACCCACCTCAAATTCAAAATACCCAGTAAAGAATTCCATACAAAAAGGGTAAATGATGAGAGTTTTCATTAGTTTTCTCCTCTGTTTACTCTCTGTAACTTGTGCAGCCACTCCAATCACCAACCCCATTTGCCCATTGGACCTTAACTATGTCCTTAGAATCCCATGGACCGCCACCGATTGCCGGAACCCCTTCTTCCAGACCACTGCCAAATCTGCCATGAATGATACCTCCAAATTCCATTGTTGTCAAACCCTCTTGTCCTTGTTTGGAATCGCTTTGGCCCAACACCTCAAACAAACCTCTCATTTCAACCTCCCAGACCTCGCAACCTCCAATTCTTGCCTTCTTGATTACCAGTCCAAACTCTCCTCTCTCTCCCTCCCTGCCAACCTTGTTTCCCATTGCTTTGATCCCTTACAATTTGTGATATCAGCTAATGTCTGCGCTGGTATTCAAACCACTCGAGATTGGGTTTCAAAACTTGGCCAGAACTCGCCTCTTGATTCTGGGTGTCGGTCGAATCTTGTTGGTTCTGGTTGTGATGCTTGTGTGGCTGCTGGTTTCAAAGTTCAAGCTATTTTGACAGGAATTGATGGTAATAAATCTCATTCCATGGATTGCTTTTACTTTGCCGTTCTTTATGCTGCTGCCATTGTGAATGAATCTGGCCCTGAAGGCGACAGTGCTTTAGATTGCATTTTTAATCTTCAATTGAGTACTCAAAAGGGTTCAAAAAGTAAGCATACTTCTCTAGTTTATGGCCTTACTGCTGCTGCTGTAGGACTTTTAGTCGTTTTTGTTCTATTGGGAATAGGATTTTGGTTGTACAAAAGCAAACAATTGGCGAAGAACTCTAGCTTGGAGCTGGATGAACAAGGGTCTAGACCACATGCCAGGCCAAACACTGGATCAATTTGGTTCAAAGTTCATGAGCTTGAGAAGGCAACTGATAACTTTTCTTCAAAGAATTTCATTGGCAGAGGTGGGTTTGGTTTAGTTTACAAAGGGAGATTACCTGATGGAAGCATGGTGGCTGTAAAGAAAGTAATTGAATCAGATTTTCAAGGCAATGCAGAGTTCTGCAATGAAGTTGAAATTATCAGTAATCTAAAGCACAGGAATCTTGTTCCACTTAGGGGCTGCTGCGTGGTTGATGAGGGTTTTGATGAGAGTTCAAGTGAGAGATACCTTGTTTATGATTACATGCCAAATGGAAATCTTGATGATTATTTGTTCCCTATACCATCTGATCAAGATGGAACTGTGAAGAACTCATTGACATGGCCTCAAAGGAAGAACATTATCTTGGATGTGGCAAAAGGCTTAGCTTATCTGCACTATGGAGTGAAGCCTGCAATATATCACAGAGATATCAAGGCGACAAACATATTGTTAGATGCAGATATGAGAGCGAAAGTTGCAGATTTCGGGCTTGCCAAACAGAGTAGGGAAGGACAGTCGCATCTAACGACTCGAGTTGCAGGAACTCATGGGTATTTAGCTCCTGAATACGCGCTTTATGGACAACTAACTGAGAAGAGCGATGTTTATAGCTTTGGAGTGGTGGTTTTGGAGATAATGTGTGGGAGAAAAGCTCTTGATTTTTCTTTGGCATCGTCGCCACGTGCGTTCTTGATAACGGATTGGGCTTGGTCATTGGTGAAAGGTGGAAAGATAGGGGAAACTTTAGATCCTTGTCTTGTGAAAGATGGAGATTGTTCTAATTCAAATCCAAAAGGCATAATGGAGAGGTTTGTTGCGGTTGGAATTTTGTGTTCTCATGTGATGGTGGCTTTGAGGCCTACCATTATGGATGCTCTGAAGATGTTGGAAGGTGACAGTGAAGTTCCTCAAATTTCTGATCGGCCAGTGCCTTATGGGCATCCTTCATTTGTTGGTGATGGCAGCAACTTCAGCATATCACGACATTAAGCAGACCTCAAATTCTGTGAGATCTCGCATCGATTGGGGAGGGGACGAAGCATTCGTCATAAGAGTGTGGAAACCTCTCCTTAGTAGATGCGTTTTTAAAACCGTGAGACTAACGGAAATACGTAACGGGCCGAAACGGACAAAATATCTACTAGTGGTGTGCTTGGGGCTATTACAAAAGATATCAGAGCCAGACACTGGGCAGTGTGCCATGAGGATGCCGGCACCCAAGGAGATGGATTGTGAGAACCCACATCGGTTAGAGAGGAGAACGAAGCATTGTTTATAAGGGTGTAAAAACCTCTCCCTAATAGGCGCGCTTTAAATCTGTGAGGCTGACGGCAATACGTAACGGGCCAAAACAGACAAAACAACTGCTAGTAGTGGGCTAGAGGCTGTTACAAATGGTATCAGAGCCAGACATCGAGTTGAGTGCCAGCGAGGACACCAGCCCTCAAGCAGAGTAGATTGTGAGATCCCACATCGGTTGGAGAGGGGAACAAAACATTGTTTATAAAGGTGTGAAAACCTCTCCCTAATAGACGCATTTTAAAATCGTGAGGCTGACGGTGATACGTAATGGGCCGAAACGAACAATATCTACTAACGATGGATTTGAGACTGTTACATAGAGTATTCAAGTAAAACCTGGGTTGGAGATGTATCAGACAGGCTTGTTGTAGTTTCTTTCACTCTAAACAGGAACTGAATATCCATAGATATGTCAGATACTTTCTTAGTTTTGGTTTCAAGTTAGCCATGCTCCTTTTGGTGGTTCTCAAGTCCAAGCTATTGGATTTCTTTTCTTTGACTGTAACAGGAACTCTAAAGACCTGGCTATTCGAAGCACGACTGCTTTAAAGTTGAAAAACAGTGAATTCATGTTGCAAATGCTTTTTATGCATTATTTTGCAACACTTGGAGGTGTGGACCATAATGGACGACCTCTTTCAAGAAGAGAAGACTTGAAAAGATCAACTTTCAAACATTATTTTGAGCTGTTCTCTGTCCTGATAGACTACTTGATTGTCATTAATCTCATCATTTAGTGCACCAACAAAAGATGATGCCACACCAACCAACCAAACCAAAAAGCAATTTATGACCTTCAAACGTTCTTTCAAGGACCGTTTGGTTTAAGGTTTTCCTCGATATCCACGAGTACAAGATTGTTGGAATCAAATAGCTGTGGCTGGTTCTACACGAAAATGTTGTCAAATTTTCATAAGAATAAGTTCGTGCGAGATTAATATGATAAATCTTACATAAGAAGTTTATGCATCATAACAGAAGGTTCCTGAGTGGAAATAATGGGAAGAACATTCTTGCCAACTTCATTACTAAATAAAAAAATCAGCTGTTACTATACATGCCTTAATCAAAATTGCCAACTTTTCTCATAGTTAGTATTTAAATACTGGAGGAAATGGATTTCTAAGAAAATTGGTGGGAGAGGCTTGTGTTCTGTGCATTATCAGGCTACAGAGGCACATGACCATCAGGCTTCCAAGTCAATTCTAAGAAGGCTAAGATGTGGTAGAAATAGGAGAAGTTTGAATTCAAAAGCAGAATCCTCCCATCAGTCTAATTTAGCAGAACTTGAATGATATCATTATAACTCAGCCTTTGATTCCATATCCTCATCAATAGATTTCTTACTCGCAGAAATTTTAGCGATCGATGAGACGGGTGTTTGAGGGGTCACATCACCTAATATTTTAGCTGTGAATGTTGTGGCCTCCAAATCAAGATCTGGCCATTCGGGAACGATTCTTCTTGCACCCTGATAATTGCAACTACTTTTAATGAATGACGAAGATGAAAAGGCATACATACAAAAAAAGATATGGAGAGATTTGGGTTCTAAAGATACAGAATGAATTGAGGAAACAGTTGGACCTGAAGCTTCGGTTCTTTGGTCATGGGGTTGTTACAGAGATCGATGGTTTTCGCCTTCGATTTCGTGGCATTGCCACACCATGACTCGCACCAGAGCCATTCTTGTGGTAGAGAGAAAATGGGCACAGTGTGCTGAGCGTAGTTAGGAAGATCCTGAAAAGCAAGCAAAATATATATTACAAAATCCAAGTTTCGTGTCGGCAAATTCAAACCATTTTGACATATTAAGTTTCCTTAAAACTAGGAACTATGAACCTAGTCTATGCAACGATTAAACTTGAATTGAGAAACTTTGAAGCTCAGAAGGGTTTCTAATATTGCAACTCTCGAATTTTTCAGTCAATGTTTATGCTTAATGAGATGATGTTATGAATGTAGACAAGTAAAATGATATGCTGAATCATCCACTTTGGACTGGCCTAAATAGTCATTAGGACCAAAGGGGCTTTAGAGAGAATTGATTGAAACCATAATGACTACCTACCATTGGTTTAAAAAATTCCACAAGTTTCTTTGGATAATCAATATAGTAAGATCAAGTGGTTATCCCGTGAGAATAGAAGAGGTGCACAAACTTGCCGGGACTCGTATATATATATATATGTATGGATTGTTCTGGATTAGTTTAAAACATTTCTAGAGAGCTGTTTGCAAGTAGCAGGTATATAGAGGAAAGAAATTCATCTTTCCTGTTTCTGGGTTAGGGTCGGGCTAGAAGATTAACAACTAAGAGGCACCAATATAGAAAGAACATGGGTTGACTGTTGGCTCACATATATATATCATTATTTAGTTCCTTAGTATGAGAAGCCCCAATTTGAATTAGGGTGAATAGAGAATCTCTTAAAGAACTCCCTATCTTCATAGATGATCATGCAAAGGTACCTCCAAATGGAGATATGGAAGGAAGAAACTTGGATTGTGCTTTTAATGGAAATTTGCTTGATGACGATCGAGAATCCGAAAGGTTACTCATCCACTCAGTTTATAAAGTTGTCTAACAGTAAAGAATCCAGAAATCATCTGATGACTCAAGCGTGCATGTTTCTCTTTTAGAACAATGCAATCAACAAGAAAAGAGTAGATGAACTTTGGAAGATGAAGGATTTGATGATAGTGTTAGTAGTATCGATGAGGATTTTGATTCATTAAATCAGAAATTGGCATCCCAAATCACCAAATACATTAATGTCCTTATTTGGGAGATGTTTAATGGTTAGTCGAATTGTTCTGAAATCCTTATTTGGGTGTTTCTTTTCAATCTTTAATCTTCAGTGGGTGTTCACTACTTCATTTATGTAGAAAATTCTCCATTTGCTGGTTGGTTCTCCCTTAGCGCCAAATCTAAGGTTTTGTAGTCTAATGTAGTGAAAACTCTCCTACCCAAAATTTGGATCAAAAGGAATCAGAGGATTCTCCACAACAAGTCTCTTGTCTAAGATCCCACATCGGTTGAGGAGGAGAACAAAACATTCTTTATAAGGGTGTGAAAACTTTTCCCTAACAGACGCATTTTAAAAACCTTGAGGGGAAGCCTGAAAGGGAAAACCCAAAGAGGACAATATCGGCTAGCGGTGGGCTTGGGCCGTTACAATCGTTCCTTAGCCACTTGAGTGCCAACGTCACTGAAGGCCTCTCATATTTCAGATAAGACAGTCAACCACGCTAACACTAACTAGTGATAAATACTATAAACATTATCTCGATGCGATGCTGATAGAGTACTATATGGTAATATGGTAAATGAAAATGCACCATAGAATGGGAACAAAATAAGAAATCAGGTGATGTAAAACTTGACAACCATTAACTCAATGCTAGTGAAGTATCAATTGGTATGCTATTGCTAATAAAGCATTAAACGATGCCAAATTTACTTGCCTGATCCAAATTGGATAAACTATTCGGATCCTTGCTTAGAGATTCATAGAAAACTCTTAGATTATCTCCTGCTGCTGTTTCTCGGAATTTCTTTAAATCAACAACATATAATGCACTGTGGGAAACGGAAAGAAAAATATTAATGCATCACATTATTAGTAACTGCATCACATTATTTTAGTAACTGCATCACATTAAAATGTAAAAGGTCTATTAGGAGAAGACTTTTTACATAATAAGAGACTACAGCCAAACAGTCTTTCTACATATTCATTTTTCGGAAGAAAGGAATTCTATTTGGCTCTACAGAACTACTAATGAAATGTAAGAGCAAAGATAAGATTTCTTCATGGAATTTTTCTCGAGGAATGAAAGCTTTACGACGCATTAAGTAGTTGGAAATGGAAATATCAGTGGAATCAATGCATGTGCATCATCTCAATAGATACAATATCAACACAATCCATCAGTCTCTACCTTATATGGTACGGTTTTCCACGTAGATGTTCTTTCCAGAATCCCTGTTCGTGAAAGGAAATAGTGAGGACAGGATGATACTGAAAATTAGTTACTGATAACAAGAAAGGAGATTGATATGTACTTGTCTCCAAAACCTATATCCATCCATATCCTTGTTATTGTCACAAAAGGGTGTATATGCTAGTGGTTTTCCCTTTATATTCATATCATAGAGTTCCCCCATGTCTGTCCGGACAATCTGATCAGCATCAACAAAAATGACCTGCAGGTAACATACGAACAATATTTTTCTTACATGAGTAAATAAGCATGCAACAGATGATTGAGATATGAATAAGTTACACTAACATTTTGATATCTTGGTTCCTTCTAAAAATTATTTACAAGAAATCATGGTAGATTGGAGCATTATGATGATACAATACCTTTTCCAACGAAAGAGGGAAGATAACATCAAGAAATAGAATCTTATATGCCCAAATAATCCTCTGCTTTTCTTTCTGCTTATGCAACCAAGTCGGCCACTTGTAAGTGATTAGTTCAAAATCAAAACCATATTCTTCAGCCATGTGTGGTATTACATCCTGTTTATGTCACCAGAGAGCACAGGCATTAGGTGTCTAAACAAAATTGTAACGACTTAGACCCACTGCTAGCAAATATTATCCTCTTTAGGCTTTCCCTTTCGGGCTTCCCCTCAAGGCTTTAAAACGTGTCTGCTAGGGAAAGGTTTCCACACCCTTATAAAAGGTGTTTCGTTCTCCTCCCCGACCAATGTGGGATATCACAAAAACATTCTTAAAAATAAATAAATAAAATAAAATAAAATAATAAAA